GCACACTATGTGAGGAAAGTAACTGGGCCCTGGAGTCAGACTGAGTTAGGTTTCACCTTTATCTCTACCATTCACTAGCTCTATGGCCTTGGAAAACTTTTTTTTAAAAAATGCTTTATATTTTTAACTATAAGAGTTATGTAAGGCCGGGCGTGGTGGCTCAAGCCTGTAATTCCAGCACTTTGGGAGGCCGAGGCGGGTGGATCACAAGGTCAAGAGATTGAGACCATCCTGGTCAACATGGTGAAATCCCATCTCTACTAATAATACAAAAAATTAGCTGGGCATGGTGGCGCGTGCCTGTAATACCAGCTACTCAGGAGGCTGAGGCAGGAAAATTGCCTGAACCCAGGAGGCAGAGGTTGCGGTGGGCCGAGATCGCGCCATTGCACTCCAACCTGGGTAACAAGAACAAAAACTTCATCTCAAAAAAAAAAAAAGAGTTATGTATAGCTCCCCATAGTTAATACTGTTAACAGTTTCGTGCTTATCTTTTTTCAGAACTTTTTACAATATGTATGAACACATGTATACAACACAGAACATACATATGCATGTAGAGTTGTGAAGTTTTATTTTTTGAAAATTAATGTTTCTCTGCTTTAATTTCTTCATCTTAATACCTTGTAAGATTCTTGTGAGACCTTAAAGAATTTGTGTGAAAAGGCACAAAGTAGGTTCTTTTTTTTTTTTTAATTTAAAGACGGTTTCACCATGTTGGTCAGGCTGGTCTTGAACTCCCGACCTCAGGTGATCCGCCTGCCTTGGCCTCCAAAGTACTTGGATTACAGGCGTGAGCCACCACGCCCGGCACAAAGTAGGTTCTTAATAAGTGTTTATTATTATCATTGAAATGAATCTAGAAGAATATTGGGAAAATAATGAGAAGATAAAGAGAGCGAGGAAGGCAGAAGTAGTTCAGTTTTTCAGGTCTGCATTAAATACTACTCAGAGGGGTAGGGTACTCTAAGAAAAAGAACTCTAAAAACCGCTGAAAGAGGCCACTGATGATTCCCTTTCTCCCTCTTTCTTAAGATTCCAAACCAAAACAAAGAAACACAAATACTCCTGGATCTCCTTCCTGACAGAATTGGGCATGGAACATTTCTCAACTCTGGTGAGGGAGGATCCCTAGATCTGGTGGACTTTGTGAGGCAACATCGGATACCACTGGGTAAGGTTTGGAGTTTCAGGTCTTTCAGACCTCTGTTACTCCCCAATCTAGGTTGCAACCCATATGTAGAGAAGTACTGTTCTAAAAGGACGAATGTCATCTAGCTATTAAAAGATGCATGGAATTTGTGTTTTCTGAGCCTATTTAAGTAACAGAAAGCTTTAGCTTCCATTAAAATACGAGCTCTATGTAACTCAATAAGAATTTTTTAAAGGAATAAAGGGTCATCTAAAACTCTGAAATGATTTAAACAAAATTGATGTGTTATGAAAACATGTAACATTATTTAAAAATTAAGCATTATGGAAAATCGCAAATTATTTTCACATGTCTGTTGATCGTTACACACTTGATTGTGTTTATGAAGTGCCTACTTTGCTGTCATTGCTGTTGATAGAGCAGTACACAAAACAGGCAAGATTTCTTTCCCAAGACACTCATATTCTAGCAGGGGGAAGACAGTAAACAAATATACAAGAAAACATTAGTGTTCTAGGAAGAAAATTAAACAGACTGATATATTAGTGATTGTATAACCACTTTTGATTGGATAGTTAGGAAAGGCCTTTCTAAAGAAGGAAAAACTGGTTGGCTGCATACCATTTTATGGAATGATGAATTTGCTAAATTTACCGATTTATAAAAATGCTTGTGTGAGTGTTTTAACTATAAGAGTTTCAGTAATTCATAATGTGTGAGATTTTTTTTTTTTAACTAAGGAAAATTTTAAATATCCACAAAAGTGGAGAGAGTTGGAACCACTTGCATAGTGATCTTACTTGGTGTGGTGGCCTAGCTCTGCTCCCAACAGAGTAAGGGGGCAGTTTGGGTTTGTCATCCCTTAAACTGAGTAAGCCTGTGTTGAGGCTGCCTTACTCAAGGGAGCAGATTGCATCAATCAAGTCAGTAAGGTATTTTGCTCTGGCTAGGGAGCCTGGTAATGTTTCCAGAAAGGAATTTGTTAATAGTAGGAGTCATTCTTAGGATGGACTTAACTTACCTGTAAGCAGAAGGAGGTGAATGGATGATTGTCTGGGTGAAAGTGTTTAGGGGTTCTTAGAAGCCATGGCAAAGTCCCTGCTCATTCTTAGAGCTTTATAATGCTCTAACTCTCATGCAGTGCTACAGTTTTCTTACTTTGTTTTGGCTTCCACCATTAGACCAGGAGGAATTGCAGTAACTTTTCAAAAAACCCTTCTCCTATCATGATAATTCCCTGCCTTTTTCATTATGACTGGCTTATGACATTCCTCCTTCCTCTCTATTTTGGTCAAAGAAGAAGAAGTGCATGGCTTTGAAAGGCATATTAATTCCTTGCCTGGTAGCACTGTTGCCATTAATTCCAGCATATACTTCTTGTACACTAATTGAACTACAAATTTTCACCCATAAGGAAAGATTGACTTTGTAAAGTAATAAACTACTTTAGCAAAATTGGGAAAGATTTCTCATGTGTCTATTTGGTGAACATTGAGTTCACTTACTTGCTTTTAATAAGATTTCTCCCCCTTTTCATATAGAACTCTGTTTGACCTCAAACGTCAAAAGTCAGACAGTTCCATCTTATGACCAGCACCATTTTGGATTCTGGTACAGCATTGCCCATCCTTCTGTGATCTGTGTAAGGTGTTCTGTGTAAATTATTTTGTTCCTTTTTGCTCTCTGAGTTGCATTAAGTCAGATATTCACTACCTAGCTGACTGCCTTGCATGCCCAGGGATAATGCTCAAGTAGAGGAGTTAGATGGGAGTGGGGCATGGCTGGGTATAGTGATGCATGCCTGTAATCCCAGCTATTTGGGAGGCTGAGGCAGGAGAATCATTTGAACCCGGGAGGTGGAGGTGGCAGTGAGTGGTGATCGTGCCATTGCACTCCAGCTTGGACAACAAGAATTAAACTCTATCTCAAAAAAAAAAAAGAAAAGGGACTGGGACATGAGAGGCTGCAGAGGGCCAGGGTGGCTCTGGATTGGCTCAATAGCAAAAGGTACTTGAGAAAACTTCAAAACAAAACAAAGCAAAACAAAATGAAACAGATGCTCTGTAACCATCCCATAAGATTTTGCTGCTTTATTTGATCTGGGGTGAGTCCTAGGCATATATAGGCTTTGAAAGCTCTTTAGGTAATTTTAATATACAGCCAGAGTTGAAACACTGTTCTGGTATCTTAAAGTATAAGTTTGTTTAGTTACAGCTATGCATAGATAAATGTATAGGCCCTTTTTAGACTCTTGAAAGAAGTATAGTAAATAGGAAAAATAGACTGAACAAAAAGGTGGTTATATTTTGAAAAATCATTCCTTTTTCATTTTGAAATGTTCTTGTTTACATTGGCAGACTGATGATAAGGGTGTTTTTGCAACACATCTTTCTCAAGAGTACCAGCTGGCAGCTGAAACATTTAATTTGACACAGTCTCAGGTGTGGAATCTCTCTTATGAATCCATCAACTACATCTTTGCTTCTGACAGCACCAGATCTGAACTGAGGAAGAAATGGAATCACGTGAAGCCAAGAGTGTTACACTTCTAAGATGTAATGAGGTGAACTACTTCTGAGTATGTGTTGAATCAAGGTGTTCCTGCCATATCCCACTTAGTAAAACAGTCCACCACTTCTTTGAAGCATAGCAGCCAAGTTCCATGGGCTCCATTATCAGCAACCTTACACATGGCAGGTGCTCAGTAAATATGTCTTAAACTGACTCACAAGCTCTCAGGTGCTTATTGGATGGTACCTGACTGTTGCTAATTAAATCCCCAGTCCACCAGTGATTGTGACTCAGCAGTCCTTCCCCCATGTGTAATCATAAAACTTCAGGGAAATCAAAGTCTCTCATTTTGACTTTTTTTGGAATTACTAGCATAAGGTTAGGAAAGGCTAATATACATTTTTTGTTTCTTTTGCTGCACATGCCACCCCATGTCTTCCACAAAGACTTTACTTACATTAGGTGCATAGATGCTTTTGCTCCCCTAACAGTGGGCTTGGTTTCTCTTTCTCAGAATGTTTGAAGATATTTCTTGTTGCTTTTATCTGAGGAATGGCAGGTTGGGCATCATGTAATTGTTGTGAGGTAGTTTGACATGAACTAGGTTTTCACCTGGTAAGCAAGTTGGCCCTTGCCCTATTCCTTCTGCACATTTCATTCTTTTCATCTGGAGTTTTCAGGGTTGGATCTGGGTCTTTAAAGTAAGCCTGAGCTGAGTTGGTCACAGTGGCTCATGCCTTTAATCCCAGCATTTTGCATGCCTGAGGCAGGAGGATCGCTTGAAGCCAGGAGTTCAAAACCAGTCTGGACAACATGAAGAGACACCCCCCCCCCCCCACATCAATACAATAATTTAAAAAATTAGCTGAGTGTCTTGGCTCATGTCTGTAGTCCTATCTACTGGGGAGGCTGGGGATCGCACTGGGCCCAGGAGTTCAAAGCTGCAGTGACCTATGATGGCACCACTGCACTACAGCCAGAGTGAGATCCTGTCTCTTAAAAAATAAATTTTTAAAACTTTAAAAAATAAGATTCTGCATGCCCAGTTATCTTGGGTCCTAATTTATTGTGGATATGGATTCTAATTTCCCTTTTACTACAATCTGAATTATTCCTTTTTCTAGAATATAAAGATTCAGATAAAGATACTTCTAGTAACCCCACATAGGGAGTCCAAAAAAGAAAGTTAAGATTGATCTTTTCCTACCATCCACAACTTGATCATAATTTGCCTGTATTATATAAGCGCGCTCTCTCTCTCTCTCTCTCTCTCTCTCTCTCTCTCTCTCTCTCTCTCTCTCTCTCTGTCTCTCTGTCTCAAAAAAACACCAGGGACTTTATAGACATAATTTTTATTAACATGGTATCCCTGAGAGGCGGATTAGGTGTAAACATTTTGCTTTACAGAAAGGGAAATGGACGCAGGTTAACTTACAAGACATCCGGAACCAGAATATCTGTTGATACCCCAACCAATGTTTTTCCGACAAGACTATACATAGATATACTAAAGACAGTAATCTTTTTCTTTTTTTTGACATTACCACATACTTCCTAAACCATCTTAGATCCTGAGGCACTGCTTCAGACTGGTGTTTCTTGTAGCTTCCTGTCTGCTTAGGCAACATAACAGAGGTACCATTTCCTTTAATTCCTAATAAATATTAGGAGATTTTTTGTACTAATATTCAGCACCAGAACCCTATAACACAACAAGTTATGAATTATAGAATACCGTATCTTCCTACTGCTCTCCCTGATCTTATTCCAGCCACAGGATTCCAATTAAATGTGAAACAGCTACTTATCCCAGGCCTTGGCCATCTGGCCATTTTTATCTTCCTTCTCGCATGCCCTTCAAAATATCTTCATCAGATACTATGATTTCTGACCTTTGTCTCCCATAGGAGCTAGTCCCCTAAAACTGCTCATTCTTTCCAGTGCCAGTCAGCTGTTTACTTATCAATAGTTATAGCACAGTACCTGATTTACTAGAGGTGATGGGTGTACCACCTCATGGTCTGCCCCTAGCACCCATGTTTCAGCTAAGGTGATTCTCTCTGCCTGATGCACAGCCCATATCATACTTTTCCTCGAGTTCTATGCTGCTCAGCTTTATCTGGCCTTCCTCATGGGCTCTTTGTTCCATCTACACAAAACACCTTACTCCCCCATTTTCCCATTCCTCAACCTACCCACCACTCAATTTTGCAACTAGCTATGGAAAGTTCTTCCTACCCTAATGTAACCAGTAAGCTTCCCTCGTTTGAATACTTCCTGGTTCATGAAGCCTTCCTGAATAAAAAGAAGAAAATACCTCCTGGATTTTTCTTACAGCAAACTCTAATGCATTGGACCATGCATTTATGTGTAGTGTTACTACCTAGCTTTCTAGATTTCTCTATAACTGCTGCAGCTATGCATGTGTACTACTTGTCCATGTTAGTGTCATGTTTTAGGTTGTAAGAACAAGGACAGGACCTGTTTTACCTTGTGCTATACAGGGCAGATCATAATATGAACATATGGGCAGTTAATTCAATACTATTATAAAGATGAGTAATTACATTTGTATTTAAAGAGCTGCTTTTAATTGTTTCACCTGAATGTGTATATGTAGATTGGCAGCTCCACTGGCCAAAGATAATCCATCTTCCCTGCCATTAGGGTAAAGGGGTGTTCACACACAGTAGTTCATTTTCCCAATATATGGGAATGTGGCAGTGGCTTCTGCTTATTGCAGGTAAGTACTGAGTGCCCACAGAGGGCATAACACTATACTAGGTGTGTGGAATATAGACAAGTCCCTGCTGGCAGCTTTAACTGCTTTACCTGTCACCACATCCAGCTGCCTTGCTCTATGGAGTTCTGGACCACAAGGCACAGAAGAAAATCAGATGAGACTGGACAGAAAGAAAACCAAACTAAATCCTGTAAATATATTACTCTAACCCTTCTTCTAGGACTCAGAATAAACTTAAGAAATCCAGGGTTCACACTTCAGTATAAAGTTTTCATTGTTTCTGCCTAAGAATACCTGGTTATAGACAAGATGATTCACAGAACAGAACCAAGATGGACATTAAACTTTCCTTCAAGGTAAATGAAGAGTATGCCTGACAAAGCTGTCATTTTGAACACAAGTTTAAGTGAACAGAAAGAGTCATTCATTATAGCATTTCCATTATTGTATGAAGAAGAGCTAGGCCGAGCACAATGGCTCATTCCTGTAATCCCAGCACTTTGGGAGGCAGAGGCAGGCAGGTCACGAGGTGAGGAGTTTGAGACCAGCCTGGCCAACATGGTGAAACCCCATCTCTACTAAAAATACAAAAATTAGCTGGGCATGGTGACAGGTGCCTATAATCCTAGCTACTTGGGAAAGTGAGGCAGGAGAATTGCTTGAACTTGGGAGGTGGAGGGTGCAGTAGCTGAGATCATGCCATTGCACTCCAGCCTAGGCGATAGAGCAAGACTCCATCTTGTAGGAAAAAAAAAAAGAACTAGACCCACCTAATGGGCAAAGTCTCACAACAACTTGAAATGTAATGGGTTTTTCCTGTCAGAATGCAGCTGAATGACAAAATGAGTAAAGAAGGATGCATATCAAATTCATAGGCTCTATTACCATGTTGTCTTTACTTTATTAGGGGAACACCATAGGCACTGAGAAGGACAAGATGTTATCCATCAATTCAGATACAGGCAAGGAGAGGGACTGAAATCTTCCCTTCATGCTTTAGAGTGCCTTGGGGATTTGACTGTAGATCAGGAAAAACAAGGAACAAACAGTGGCATAAAGCCTAAAGAGAATTTCCTAAGCTAGGTGGACACAGAATAGGAGATGGATCTCACTTTTGGAAGACTTCTGAACAATACATTTATTGAGCCTCTTTATTATCCTCAAGGGCTTACTTAAGTGCTGACTGTGACAGAAGCTTTTCCCGTGCATGGATTTCTCGGTGCTTATTAAGGGCTGAGCTTTTACTGAAACACTTGCCACAGTCATGACACCCATAGGGTTTCTCTCCTGTGTGGGTTCTATGATGTGCACGTAAGTCAGAACTCTTACTGAAACTCTTTCCACAGTCAGGACACACATGGGGTCTCTCTCCTGTGTGTATCCTCCGATGTGCACTAAAATGAGAACTGTTATTGAAACTTTTTCCACACTCTTCACATTGATAGGGCTTTTCTCCTGTGTGGGTTCTCTGGTGAATGATAAGGCTTGAGCTCTGATTGAAGCGTTTCCCACACTCACCACATTGATAAGGTTTCTCTCCTGTGTGGATTCTCCTATGGGTGATGAAATTTGAACTGTCACGGAAACTTTTTCCACAGTCAAGACATTTATAAGGTTTCTCTCCAGTGTGGATTCTCCGGTGTCTAATAAGTCGTGCACTCCGACTGAAACTTTTCCCACAATCAGCACATTTATATGGATTTTCCACCTGGTGGGATACCTGATGCATGAGAAGGGAATTAGGACCAAAGTTTTTGCTGTATTTGAGATATTTATAGTGTCTCTCTCCCAAGCAAGGTTTCTGTTCACTTAGGACTTCACTTAAACCCTTCTCTTGGAGTGTCAGTTTTCTCCTTTTCTCCCCTGGGGTATTTTCCCACTGTCTTCCTGATCTACAGTCACTTTCATTGCCTTTACCTTGATTAAGATACCGGAAAATTTTCCTTTCAGACCTTGCAAGTAATGTCCTATGCAGTTGTACTTCCTCAGAAATATCCCGTTTTGAATTCTCTTCATTCTCAAATCCAGCTTCAAAACCTGATGTAAAATAGAATTTTAGAAGTTATCTATTTCCTTAATTATATGTGCCCTGGGAATGTAAAACTTGGGAAAAACAAGCATTACGTCAGATAATTAGAGATAAAAATTAGGAAGCCCTAGATCCCAAATAATAACCATCATATTAAAATCCCAATGTTTTACTTCTCTGCTTGGTAACCTGTCATGTGCTTCTCATCTACATAGGGTCTCGTTAATATATACTTTTAACTCCTCTTGGTCACATAGGATCTTTGGAAAATCCTCTCAGTACAGCATGGAAAACTCACTAGGTTTTAGATAATTTCCATGTTTCTATAGGAAAGACACTTTCTAATATGTATTTTTGCCACATCTCAGGTCTATCACAGTATTCTTATTCATGATCTTTGCCAGTAACTAATAGGTTTAGAAGGACATGCTTAGGAAAACATTTTTGGAAACTTTTACATCCAGAAGGAGCTTCATGAGTCTCCTTCCCCTCACATTCCAATATACATTGGAAATAAAAAGAGGATAGAAAAATACATAGTCTTTCAAAGAACCAAAAGGCCTTAAGAACCAAATGCCTGGCTTCTTTGGGCCTAGGCTGTGCAAATTTGCATTTATTCAGATATTTCAGGTAAACTCTGAATCCCATATTCCTGGCACTAAATCTAGGAGCAAAAACATGTTGAGTATCAGCCCATGTTTGTATCTCCTGAAACAGTATTTCCACTCAGAAGCCTAATCTTACATTTCATGAAATATTAACTAGATGAAATAAATCTTAGAACCTTAAATATGTGAATATATATTGTGAGCCTCCAAGAGGGGTATTTACCATCTTCCCAAACCTAGAAGCTATTTTTTTAGTAGAATATATTAATTCCCCATGGAATTGATATAAGAATGCTCATCTTAAAGACTTATGGAAATGAAAACTATTATTTATTGAATGCCTATTATGTGCCAGGCACTGTGCAGAGTACCTCATTTACATCAACCCTATGAGGTAGGTCTTAATATATAAGCAAACTTGGGGGTGAAGTAACTTTTTTTTTTTTTTAAGACATTTTCACTCGTTGCCCAGGCTGGAGTGCAATGATGCAATCTCAGCTCACTGCAACTTCCACCTCCCAGGTTTAAATGATTCTCTTGCCTCAGCCTCCCAAGTAGCTGGGATTACAGGTGACTGCCACCATGCCTGGCTAATTTTTTGTATTTTTAGTAGAGATAGGGTTTTGCCATGTGGGCAGGCTATAGTCTCCAACTCCTGACCTCAGGTGATCCATCTGCCTCGGCCTCCCAAAGTGCTTGGGATTACAGGCATGAGCCACCAAGCCTGGCCTTAAGTAACTTTTACTAAGTCACTTAGCTAATAACCAGAGCCCAGATTCACATACATAAACATACATGACTCTGAAATCAGAACTCTTCTCGAGGGGAGGGAAGACCTTTTCTTATCTAGCAGCTAAGATTCAAAGGGTCAGTTCTCTCAGGAACCTGAACAGTTACCAGGTTTTCATAAATGTGAATAAAGCAGATACACAGCTGGTATATAGACTGACACTAGAAGAAAGCCTTATATAAAAGAGAATGAACTTTTAAAATTAACTTTATCCTACTATGGGTACTTTACATGCTACTTGAGAACTGTGAGCTTTCAGACTCCCTGCTCGGTCAACTGGCTGGAAACCTAGCACTTCATTAATAAATCACAGCAAGTTTACAATGTGCAGCTATCTCAGATTGATGCTCTGGTGTGGGGAAGCAAGTCACATAAATATTTCATATCCCCTCAGTGAGCTGCTTTAACATAAGAAACATGGGTGGTCACAAGAAATCCATGAAAGCTGGGTATAGAGGCCAGTTCTCCTCAATCTGATGATACTTTTCCTCAAACCCACTGTCTTCCCTTTGTTATTCAAACCATAATAGTGAAAGAATCTTACCACGGGGGCTCTGGAATAACACTGGAGCACGGGTTATAACAGACCCTGGGGGTATCTCAGTATCCTCTTCATCATCATCAGAATCTTCCTCTGTGACCTCGTCTGCCTCCTCAGCTTGCTTCTGAGCTTCAGCCTTACTGGTCCCCTGGACAGGGCAAGAAGCTGTCTCTTCCTGGCCATCACTGGGTGGGGCAGCAACCCGGGCACTCACCAAAGCATCCATCTCTTCAAAGAAGGGACAGGTCTCTGGTGCCTGGCCATTCTTGACTTTACGATAGCTGGTTTGCAGGCTTTTAAACTTGGTCCGACACTGCTCCGGGGTCCTAAGGAAGCCATATTCCCATAACCTCTCAGCCACTGCTCCATACAGCTGGCTGTTGCGGTGACAATTCCGGAGGGCTTCATAAAACTGGGTCTCACTAAGAATTGCAAGGTAAGTCTTGGTCTCTTCATAGCCCCAGTGTACACCTGTCACCAGAAGAGAAATTTCAGCACCACTTAATCCAGAGCTTTACAGCCTGAATTCCTCAGTCCTATCATCTGCATCATGAGAATTCACCTAAGCTCAGGCTCCTAGATGAGAAAGCAAAAATACTTAATGTTTCAAAAATCCACAAACTCCTTATAGAATGTTTTGCTTCTTTATATCCTTTAGCAATTTCATAGAGACCTTTATTCATAAATTCTGTTTGGCCATATAAAAAAGAAGGTGGTCAGGCACAGTGGCTCATGCCTGTAATACCGACACTTGAGGAGGCCAAGCTGGGCGGATCACTTGAGGCCAGGAGTTTGAAACCAGCCTGGCCAACATGGTGAAACACCATCTCTACTAAAAATACAGAAAAATTAGCCAGGTGTGGTGGCACATACCTATAGTCCCAGCTACTTGGGAGGCTGAAGCATGAGAATTGAGATTGAACTGAGGAGACGGAGGTTGCAGTGAGATAAGATCACACCACTGCACTCCAGCCTTGATGACAGAGTGAAAATAACATTTAGCACATGTGCCATGTTCAGTTAGCTTACATATATTTATATCCACAACAAAAAAGGAAAATCTCAATGAAGAAAACAAGAAGAAAAAGAGAAATGAAAAAGCAGAGGACACAAAGACCAGAAAACTAGAACAGAACTAAAGTAAGATCACGCACATAATAAAAAATAGAAGGAAAAGACCACTGCTCACAAAGGGACTGCAACTTTAGCGATGTAGTCCTCCTGCTATGCCACATATTACAGTTGAGGAAACAGAAGCTTAGAATGGCTAGATAATTACTCATGGTGTCCCAGTTGATTAATGGTCATCAGAATTAGAATCTATACCTCCTGAATCATATTTTGGTGCTCTTTCCATAACAGCATAGTTGTACCAATTACATTAACAGTAATAAGTGATACTTTAAAAAGGATTTCATAGGCAAAAATATTTCAATACAAGGTGTTAAACAAGCTTTCGCACTGTAGGACTTCCCAATCCTGTTAAAATGCCAATGTATACTATGAATCTCAGAGGAAAATTAGATGTTTCCCAGCCGAGTGTGGTGGCTCACACTTGTAGTCCTAACTACTTGGAAGGCTGAGTGGGAAGACTGCTTGAAAACAGGAGTTTGAGACCAGCCTGGGCAACATGGCAAGACCCTGTCTCTGTTTTAAACATATTTTAAATTTTTTAAATAAAAAAATGTTTCCCCAACTTTGGACAATTCTTCACTGTGCTATTCTAAGTAAAAATGAATATAATAAACTGACTTTGAGATCTGGGGAAGTAAAAGATAAAATATGTAAAGCATTGGCTGGGCTTTACGTATTTTACAGGTGGCTCACACCTGTAATCCCAGCACTTTGGGAGGCTGAGGTGGGTGGATCACCTGCAGTCAGGAGTTCGAGACCAGCCTGACCAATGCGGTGAAATTCCGTATCTACTAAAAATAGAAAGATGGTGGCGCATGCCTGTAATCCCAGCTCCTCAGAAGGCTGAGGCAGGAAAACTGCTTGAACCTGGGAGGCGGAGGTTGCGGTGAGCCGAGATCATGCCATTGCACTCCAGCCTGGGCAACAAGAGCAAAACTGTCTCAAAAAAAAAAAGGCCAGATGCAGTGGCTCACACCTATAACCCCCAGCACTTTTGGAGGCCGAGATGAGTGGATCACAAGGTCAGGAGTTCAAGACCAGCCAGTTCGACAACAGCCTGGCCAACATGGTGAAACCCCATGTCTATTAAAAATACAAAAATTAGCCAGGCATGGTAGTGTGCGCCTGTAATCCCAGCTACTCGGGAGGCTGAGGCAGGAGAATCGCTTGAACCCAGGAGGCAGAGGTTTCAGTGAGCCAAGACTGTGTCACTGCACTCCAGCCTGGGTGACAGAGTGAGATTCTATCTCAGAAAAAATATGTGTGTGTGTGTATATTTGTAAAGCCTCAAGTTCCTAGAACGTACTCAATAAATACTGGTTGTACATAAAGATAATATTGTGCCACATTTTTCTCAGCCTGCAATGATTTTTAAATCAGGGAAAAAACAATTGAGTAAAGAAATGAAAGGAATGATCTCAGGATGGTGGATTTTCTGAGTATATTTCTTTCAGAAACCTACATTTATTCCCAATTATCTCACTGATTTTCCCATAAAAGAGAATTAAATACACACATAAAATTGAGAACCACTTCTTTGTTCCCTAAGTGGCAAAGCTGGCATGTGACATTAAGGCCTTCTGACCCCATATCCAGTCTCTTCATTCCCCAAGTCTAATTCCAAAACTCCAAGAAGAAAAGCTTCTTACCACTTGGGCTTCTAAACAGGACAGGTGCAGTTGAATTGGGATCCTGGGGGATCGCCTCTAGATCCATGTCATCACTGTCAGACTCCTCAGCCACAGCCTCTTCTGCTCCTGCCTCATGCTGCCAGCCTCCCTGCCTTGGCTCCTCAGTCTCAGTATCACTGCCCACAAGGCCAGAGTGAGAGGCTGCTTCCTCCAAGCCATTACTGGGCAGGGCAATGACATGAGCACTCATCAGGGCCTCCATTTCTTCAAAGAAGGGACAGGTCTCAGGTGGGTGGCCGCTCTTGACTTTCCGATAGCTCTTCTGAAGACCTTTGAACTTGGTCCGACACTGTTCCAGGGTCCGGAGGAAGCCATATTCCCTGAGCCGCTCAGCCACAGCCCCATACACCTGGCTATTTCTATGACAGTTTCGGAGAGCCTCATAAAACTCAGTCTGGCTGAGAATTGCAAGCAGCGTTCTGGTCTCTTCATAACCCCAGTGCACACCTGCCACCTTCTCATCCTCAAAGCCCCAGTGATCCTGTTCCACCCAGCTTCTTCTGTCTTTCTTGGATGGTAACAGATCAGCATGCACTCGTCCGTCTCCCGTGTAGCTACCACTTGGAAGTTCTTTGTCCTTGGAGCCCGGCAGATCTGGAATCCATGGCTCTCCTTGCTCCAACCTGGAGACCACACCAGATTTAGGAAATGGAAATCCTGCTTGCGGGGAAGCAAACAAAGGGTATCTTAGGACTGATTATAAAAAAATATTTGAAATTCAGTCCTGCCTTTTTCATCCAAGAGGATTATAAATAAAGTGTCTAGGGAAATGTTTTCAGAAAGTTCAATGGGTTGAAAAAGGTGGGGAAAATACAGGAAACCTCAAAAGATAAGAAATGTTCTATTTTCCAAAGCAGGGTGACCAGAGAGGAAAGGAGTCTGTGTGTTCAGAGCAGATAATTCTATTCCAAGTTGTTCCCTAGCTTTCCTATTTGTACGCAGGTCATTATTCTTCACTTGGGGCTTCAGAATTAAAGTCAGAGTGATTTCAAGGGGGAAGTGAGAAAAGACTGTCTTTATGTTTCCTTCACAGTCAGTCACCAAGTTCTAAAGGTGTTTATGTTTAGAACTACTGCCACCATCCAAGTCCAAACTCCTTATCCTCTCATACCAGATAACTGCAGCAGTCACTGTTCTTCCTATCTCCAGGCTCTTGCTTCCTCAGTGCACATTTTACCCTGCTGAGCCTTAACCTTAGTACCTACCATACCCATTCCTGTCAGACTCTTGCTCCAGAACACAGCACACTTTTATTACCCCCTCTGTGGCTTTTAATTCTCTCTTATCCAATTTCAGCCTGTCCTTCAAGAGGCTACATTTGCCAATGCCCTCAAGAAGCCTTACCTACAGCCTTCCCTTATCTCCCACTCTGCCAAACCCATACAGTACTCACACAACTGAGCGAGTCATTGGCATTGTTTCAGTACAGTTCAGTTCAGCACATACTTAGAGTTAGCTATTGTGGTTCTCAATGATGTTTTTAAGTTCTTTGAGGATATGCACATTTTTTTTTATTGCAGAGTATCCTGCAAGATGTTGAGCACCTTGATAGGTGTTCCAAAACTAATGAACTCTGCAAGTCTGTGAGATTCAGGGATTTAATCTGCATCACTAAGCAGAGAGACCATTACCAAATTGGCTGAGAAAGCTATCATCTTAGACGATAATACCACAATTCAAAACTACCTCAACAAATTTTAAGCGAAATGGTAACAGAAAAAAGTATACAATATGGAGATCAATAGAATACAAAGAAGAAAAACAAGTTCTACAAAATCAAGTACAAGAATAATCAAGTAGGTATAAAGGCACTGGGGAAAGCTATCGGAATCCTGGAAGTTACCAGGTGAACAAAAAAATCATATAATCACAGGTTGGGCTATATTGATACAAGGCGTTGCAAGATTCTGAAGTAAAATTCTTACTTAGCTTCTAACAGACTTTCACAAGAATAATATACATAAATTAGTTCTCCACTATTAACATGATATTTGGAGAACTTAAAGATTCCAATAGAGAGCAACAAAAACTTAGGTTTAAAAAATGGATCTTCTAGTGGAAAGCTTAAGGAAACAAATAGAGTTTAATTTGAAGAAGGAAAACAACCAACAGGAAGATCTGCCTTCAAGTATAGAAAAGAATTTTTATCTAGAAAATAACAACCTATCATCATTACCAAGAGGAAGTAATTCCAAGTTCTGATAAAAACTAGGGAGCTATTCTCTAGTGGACTTATCAAGAGGTAATAAAAGAATACCAGAAGGCTAAACTACATGTCAATAACCACATATTCTACAATTTCCACTTATTCCTGAAATCCCTTTCCCACTCACTATTCCCAACGCTACTTCCCAACTTGGAATGGCACTCTATCTTCCCATATGAATCTACTCCTCACCGCTCCTTTGAAAAGGTCTGAGCTTCTCCTTTGGGTTCCTCTGCTCCTGTGGTCCCAGGTCTGGGCTTCTTGCCCTCTCTTTCTTGGGTACGCCCCTGGGTTGGGGTTCCACTGACTCCTGCCGAACATTTAATAACTCTTGTGATGATTTCAGGGGTGTCATCTTCTCCAAGCGCACTTCCTGCCCCTTCACAGAGACTGTGACCTAGAAACAACCCCCGTTAATTGTCACTGCAAAGTTATAATGAGGGGCATTCCCAAAGGAGATTATTTAATACCCCAAAAGAGATCATCCTTCAGGGCCATGGCCAGGATTTTAGGGGTGGGGGGTTAAAGTGAACAAGGGTCTTATTCCATTGCCATTAGCTTAAAGCAGCTGAAACTCCAGAAGGAAATGATCAAAACAGTAAACCCAACTACAGGCTGAAAAAAAAAATCCTCTTTCTTATTAAGAAACTATAAGACTAGCAAAAACTCATTATGACAGGGTAGGTGAAGGTACACCTAGGTAGCATCTCCAGACAAGCACTATCTGAAAAAGTTACTTATACCAGACCAGAAGTATAAGCATCACCAAGGGAGATTGTGTCCTTCTTTAAGCCTGTCTATTAATTTAGCCCTCCACCCTTGCCCCTTCCCAATATCACACTTTTGAATTCCCCCTCCCTTCTCACCGAAGGTCCAGGTCTTCCAGGCTCTCTTTCTAAATCTTCCACCAGAGTCACTGCCTCCTCTCCATTTTCTGGACACCGTTCCTGTACCCAATTCTGGATCTCCCCAGGTAAGACGGTCAGGAACTGCTCTAGCACCAACAGTTCTACAATCTGTTCCTTGGTGCGCACCTCGGGCCTTAACCACCGACAGCAAAGTTCCCAGAGTTGGCTGAAAGCCTCCCGCGGCCCAGCCACCTCCTGGTAATGGAATCTCCTGAAGCGCTGTCGGAATGTCTCAGAGTTAGGGCCATTCTCTCTCAGGGAGGATTTGGCCATCATTCACAGCAGAAAGCAGCTTCCCTCCACTTAAGAGTCTGGGTTCCAAAGCTTACATCTATCTTCCCATGTCCTTGGAGAATCACCTGCAGATGACACTCTGTCTGTAAGAAGAGTTTCTTCCTAGGGCAGAGAAAGATGGTACTATCAGAAGGAATATATTCATAAGTCTAAAGTCTTGTCAGAACTGGTCTGCCTTCCCATATGCTCCAAGTGGCCTTCTTAGGTAGCACAACCTTCAGTAAAAAGACTGCAGAAGCTGCTTTTGTGGATGACGTCCAGAGCAGCCCCAGGAAGCAGCAGAGAATAAAAATACTGCCCGCTCCTCTCCCACCTCCTCCAAATCCGATCCCATTTAACTCCCCTGACCAATGTTGCATAGTGAGTCCGAACCATACAGATGAACTGGAGTTCGAGAGGATCACTATCCTGCTTGAAGGTAACAAAAAGCCTCTGTCCAGCTGGTCGCAGCTGATCTTCCCAAGTACCGCCGCAGTCCTTCCTAAGGCCTTCTGCGTCCGCCCAGCCCCCGCGGGCTGCACAACTCCCAACGCCCACCCCAGGCAAAAATCAGGTCCAGAATTTCGAGTCTTTGTTTTCCCCTCGTAGAAGCAGTAGCCTCTCAGCAAGGATTCGGGCGCAACTTGTTGGAAAACCTCAAGCAAGGAGAGAAACCAATTTTGGCTCCAAAGCGAGGACTGAGTGGGTTTGGGGAGAGTCAGACTGCGTTGGAGAGACGGAGTCCGAGGGCCAGTAGTAACCGGCTTCCTAAGGATGAGCTCAGGTGCCGGCCAGGGGCTTCAGGTGCTGCCGGTTCGAGGACGCAGAGCTCTCAGCTTAAGGAGGGACGGCTGCGGGATTCCGGCCTCTTTGTCTCCGCTCCCTCCGGCCGGGTCACCCGCAGCCGTCGTGCAGTCCCTCCAGAGGCCTCTGACCCGGCTAAGGCGCCCTAAGGGCGCCCTCCAGCCCACCCCACCCCTGAGAGGGTCTCCCTCTCGAGCTGCCCTCAACCTCCTCGCATCCTTGCCTCCTGGCCAGCCTCACCCACTCAGGGTCCCGCCCCGGCCCCAGCTCCAGTCTCTAGCTACTAAGTACAGCTCCCAAACCGGAAGTCCAAGCAGGCGGCTCGGGGCACCGAGGACGCATGCGCGAGGGCAGCGACCGCGACTCAGTCTCTGCAGAGCTCTGGCGGGAGTAGCGGGTGGGCCCCGTGGAGCCACCGAACTTCCGGGACTCGGCCGTGACCCCTTCCTGGCTTCACGTCCGCTCTGCCGCATTGTCTCAGCGGGTTGATTTGGGACAAAACACCCGACCCAGGAGCCGATGCGAGTGTGTGAAGGGGAGCACTCCCCTCGTGGTCGCCAGGAGGGGCGCTGGAGGAGGGGGCGACGTATCCAGGGACTCGAGGTCGGCTGCGGGAATGATCCACGAACTACTCTTGGCTCTGAGCGGGTACCCTGGGTCCATTTTCACCTGGAACAAGCGGAGTGGCCTGCAGGTAGTGTCCGGCGCAGAGCGCGGAAACCAGGGAGCGCTGGAGCGGCGGACCTGAGCCAGCGTTTAGGGGATGAGGCTGAGGGACCGAGAGGGCGGGGCTTACAGGGCTGGGGGCGTGTCCCTGGACAGGTGACTGGAGGGCAGTCCCTTAAGGTGAACGCTGATGTGACGCCTAGAGAGAGGCCTGGCTTACGCTGGAAAATGGAGGGCCGATCTCGAAGAGGCCCTCCTGTGGCAGGGCGAGGAAAGGGCCTGAGGTCGAGGTGTCTGAGTGACAGTTGCTGGGAAATGATATAGAAGTGTGGGAGGCACTTTCTCCTATTTTATTTTCACGCATGCATTGTTTGAATTTTGAAGGACTGCTCCAAATACACAGCTCCCAAACACATAGAAAGCGTTAAGTAAAGTTTGTAGAATGAAGAAATGAAATGGAGAGCGTGTGATGTTTCCCTCATTACTCCTTTACCAGGAAATTTCTGCACTAGGTAAAGAACTTGGAAGGGGGCCTTCGTGTAACCAGGAATGTATGATGATCCGTATATACATTATCTTATTTAATCCTCACAACCGCCTATATCCATTTTACGGATTAATCTAGGTTTAGAATGTTAAATAACTACCGGGATCACATAGCTAGTAATTAACAGAGCTTAGTTTTGAACCCAAACCTGTCTGGCTTCAGTGTTTGAACTATTCTTACCTGCTTCTGCTTCCAGTAATGTTATCTAATGCTCTCAATAATTTAGTAACTTAGGTATTGTTTCTACCGGTTAACAAATGATCAAACTGAAGCTCAGAGAACTTTATGCTGGCTAGTCCTGGTAATAGCAAGATTGAAATCTAGGTCCAACTGATCACGAAGGCATGCCTGTTCCTAGGAGAATTTGCAATATAGACTGGAAGAGCAGAAAAGGTACATTCTTAGTCTATAAAACCTGTAAATCAAACAGATTCCTTTGTTATTGTTTATGAATGTGTATTTGAAGTTAGGGAGTTTAGGTGAATTTTTTTATTATTTTTATTTTTAGAGTGAGTCACTGTATCGCCCAGGTGGGAGTGCAATGGCACCCTCTTGGCTCACTGCAACCTCCATCTCCCGGGTTCAAGCAGTTCTCCTGCCTCAGCCTCCCGAGTAGCTGGGATTTCAGGCACCTGCCATCTTTCCCGGCTAATTTTGTATTTTTGGTAGAGACAAGGTTTCTCCATGTTGGCCAAGCTGGTCTTGAACTCCTAACCTCAAGTGATCTGCCCACTTCAGCCTCCCAAAGTGCTGGGATTACAGGCTTGAGCCACCACACCCTGCCTATGTGAATTTTTGAAAAAAAATAAGTGAGGTGAAGATTTGCCTGGTAGAGTTTGAATTGTTACTTTTGACCTGTAGGTCCTTGAAGACTAAGTCGATGTTTCACTTTTCTCCATAGAACTTAGTACAATACCAGGCATGTAGGAGGCGAGTAGTATTCAGGAAGTATGTGTGTGCCTGATTGTCCAAAATGAAAAGAGATAACACAGTAAGGGAAAGACTAGCTAGGGAGGGGGTGGGGGAGACAGCCACAAGTAATTCATCTTTTCCCTTCCTTTCTTTCTTATGAAAAATTCTCAAACATGTATTTTCTAGCTTTTCATCCTTAAGGTCTCAGCTTTAAAGTCACTTTGTCAGAAAAACTTTCTCTGGCTACATCTTTAAATTAAGCATCCTCCCCTAATGCCATTATTCTCTATCAACTTGTTTATTTTCCTTATAGGATTTGTCACAATTTATAATGTATTTTTGTTACCTGTTTATAAATCTTTCTCCCTCATAGGTTGCCCATGGGAGCAAAGACCACAGTGGTCTTCTTCACTGATGTACCCGGAGGACCTAGCACATTTTCTGCCACATAGCAAGTGTTTAGGTATTAATGGAAAACAAGAAGACAAAGACAGCAAATATAACATACTTTTTGCAGAGTGGTGTCTTTTACATTTGAATAAAGGGAACAGTTGTCATGAGTGCCACGTGTTGATGAAAATTATTATAATATTGAATATATACTTAAGCTAGGTATAAACTCAAGCATAATGCTGTTAAACAACTATAAAATCAAATATTCTTATAAATTAAAATTAAACAAAACTACCAAATCAATATATTCAAATGACCATTACTCTAATTCAGGATTTCTCAGCCTGTTCATATAAGTATGTTGTATAGAATGGTATCAGTAACTTCAAGGTATTGTTTGCTGTTTCAGAATAATTAGACATTGAACTTTTCGAAAGCTCTGCCAAAAAGAAATGCTTAAATGCCAATTTTAATAATGGTATCATTGGATAACTGGTAGAGCTGCCTTGTTAATAATACAACATTGCTTATGCATATTGAGCACTGGCTCTGTGCTTGGGACATGTGCTTATTAACTTATTTAATCCTCACAATTATTTTCTTCAGTTTATAGGTTTGAAAACTGAAGCACAGAGAGGTATAGTAACTTACCTGAGCTTTCAAGCAAGTAAGAGGCAACACAGGGATTCAAACCCAGGTAGTCAGTCTCCAGACACCAGGTTCTTAAGACCAGGTGTTGTGCTACCTCTTAAGTTACTAACTTGAAAATGTGATTAGCATTGTGTCATTAAAATATACATTAATTGATTCCTAATCAATTTTCTGTGGACTCCGCAACAGAAAAATTCTTCTTTGCCTATTTGCTACCACATTTACTGTCATATAAAGATGACATCCACATATAATCTATATTATATATCCACCCATTTATAATATGCCAAGTTCATTTGGAGCATTAACTGTATCCGATTTTATTTATCTCAAAGTATTAGCAGAGTATCTGAGATATAGTAAAGGAAATGTGAAATGGTATAGCCGTTGTGGAAAATGGTATGGCAGTTCTTCAAAAAATTAAAGGCCAGGCACACGGCTCACACCTGTGATCTCAGCCCTTTGGGAGGGTGAAGCTGAAGGATCAGTTAATGCCAGGAATTTGAGGCTAGCCTGCACAACAGAGCAAGACTCCATCTCTACAAAAAAATTTTTTTTGCCGGGCGCGGTGGCTCAAGCCTATAATCCCAGCACTTTGGGAGGCATGGTGGGTGGATCACAAGGTCAAGAGATCGAGACCATCCTGGTCATGGTGAAACCCCGTCTCTACTAAAAATACAAAAAAAAAATTAGCTGGGCATAGTGGCGCGTGCCTGTAATCCCAGCTACTCATGAGGCTGAGGCAGGAGAAGTGCCTGAACCCAGGAGGCAGAGGTTGTGGTGAGCCGAGATCGTGCCATTGCACTCCAGCCTGGGTAACAAGAGCGAAACTCCGTCTCAAAAAAAAAAAAAAAAAAAAAATTTTTTTTTAATTAGCTGGCTATGGTGACACGTGCCGTAGTCCTAGCTACTCTGGAGGCTGAGGTGGGAGAATTGGTTGAACCTAAGGGTTCATGTTACAGTGAGCTATGAACCCACCACTGTACTCCAGTCTGGGTGACAGAGTGAAACCTTGTCTCTTAAAAAAAAAATTAAATATAAAATTACCATATAATCTAGCACTTCCACTTCTGAGTATATCCCAAAAGAAGTGAAAATAGGGACCCAACAGGTATTTGTACACCCATGTTCACCAAGCATTATTCACAGTAGCTAAAAGGTGGAAGCAAGTGTCCATGGAGGGACCAATAGGTAATTGAGATTCAGTATATATATACAAGGAAGTATTATTCAGCCCTAAAAAGGAAGGAAATTCTGGCACATGCTACAACATGGATGAACTGAAATAAGCTTGTCACAAAAGGACAAGCAATAATTCCACTGTTTGTGGTTTTTTTTTTTTTTTAGACAGTCAGGTTCTGTTGCCCAGGCTGGAGTGCAGTGGCACAATCTCGGCTCACTGCAACCTCCACCTCCCAGGTTCAAGGAATTCTCGTGCCTCATCCTAGCTGGGATTACAGGCACCTGCCACCATGCCCAGCTTTTTGTATTTTTAGTAGAGACGGGGTTTCATCATGTTGGCCATGCTGGTGTGTACCTGACCGCACATGATCCACCCACCTTGGCCTCCCAAAGTGCTAGGATTACAGGAGTGAGCCACCATGCCCGGCCTAAATGATTCCACTCACGTGAGGTAGCTAGAGTAGTTAAAATTGTAAGGTTAGCCAAGAGAAAAGACAGTAGGCCCAACATCATGCAAACAAGTTTTATTAATCTGCCGGGCTGCTCCCTAACAATTAGAAGAGACAGCCCCGGGCCTATAACACAAGGGGTTTATATGGGGTAAGAGGAGCATAAGGGAGTTTCAGGACTGAGCTAATCTGTCAGCTTTTAACAGGCACAAAGATGATTTGTCAGCTTGTGACAGACTTAACAGTACATCATCTTGTGACTTTTGTGGTGGCAGTTTAAAAAACAGGATTTTACAGGTATGTGTAAAATAGGAATTTAAACAGTTTTGTTTTCCATGACCTCCCCCGCGGCGCTGCCCAGGTGGCTGTAATCAGGCTTTGCTCAATTGTAGTGTATCTGGCAGCCTTGCTGTGGTGCCTAGATAGGAATGCAGCTGCAGAGCAATCAGAGTGGGGGTCAGCTGCCCCTAACAGTCCAGCCTTTTAATAGTTAATAGAAGAGGGGGCACCATTGTCATCTGGCTGCTTCTTGCTGGATAGGAGCCACGCTCACGTTTGGGCCGAGGGAGGCTAGCTAGTAGGAACTGTCGTTCCTGGAGTTGTTGGTATTCTTGGAGCAGCATCATATCTTGTATTGTTCCATGGGTGAAAGTTTTAATACAGTCCTGTAAAAACTGGGTGAGGAGTTGTAAGAGGCAGGGCCCAAATGCTAGAAGGAAGAAAAAGGTTATGGCAGGACCTAGGAGGGCCAGTAGCCAGGGTGCCCAGGAATTATGGAACCACTGGGGCCAGGTAGAATGACTGTCTTTAAGTTTTTGTGCTCAGTCTTTGAGCTTTTTGATAGCATCCCGTACTAGCCCAGATTCATTGAGGTAGAAACAGCACTGTTTATTT